GGTTTTCCCCATAAAGTATCATATCATCTGCAAAGAGTGAGAGTTTGACTTCTTCTTTGCCGATTCAGATGCCTTTTATTTCCTTTTGTTGTCTGATTGCTGTGGCTAGGACTTCCAGTAGTATGTTGAATAGCAGTGGTGATAGTGGACATCCCTGCCATGTTCCTGACCTTAGGGGAAAAGTTTTCAGTTTTCCCCATTGAGAATGATATTCACTGTGGGTTTTCCATAGATGGCTTTTATGATATTGAGGTATGTACCCTCTATCCCTACACTCTGAAGAGTTTTAATCAAGAAAAGATGCTGTACTTTTTCAAATGCTTTTCTGCATCTATTGAGAGGATCATATGGTTCTTGTTCTTTCTTTTATTAATGTATTGTATCGCATTGATTGATTTACAGATGTTGAATCAACCTCGCAGCCCAGGAATAAATCCCACGTGGTCGTGGTGAATAATCCTTTTAATGTACTGTTGGATCCTATTGGCTAGTATTTTGGTGAGAATTTTTGCATCGATGTTCATCAAAGATATTGGTCTGTAATTCTCCTTTTTGATGGGGTCTTTGTCTGGTATGGGAATCAAGGTAATGCTGACCTCATAAAATAAGTTTGAAAGTTTTCTTTCCATTTCTATTTTTTGGAACAGTTCCAGAAGAATAGGTATTAACTCTTCTTTAAATGTTTGGTAGTATTCCCCTGGGAAGCCATCTGGCCCTGGGCTCTTGTTTGTTGGGAGATTTTTGATTACTGCTTCAATTTCCTTAGTGGTTATGGGTCTGATAAGGTTTTCTATTTCTTTCTAGTTCAGTTTTGGTAGTTTATACATCTTTAGGAATGCATCCATTTCTTCCAGATTATCTAATTTGCTGGCATATAGTTGCTCATAATATGTTCTTATAATTGTTTCTATTTCTTTGGTGTTGGTTGTGATCTCGCCCCTCTTTCATTCATGATTCTATTCCTTTGGGTCATTTCTCTTTTCTTTGTGATAAGTCTGGCCAAGGGTTTATCCATCTTACTAATTCTTTCAAAGAACCAGCTCCTAGTTTCTTTGATCTGTTCTACTGTTCTTTTGGTTTCTATTTCATTGCTTTCTGCTCTGATCTTTATTATGTCTCTTCTCCTGCTGGGTTTAGGCTTTATTTGCTGTTCTTTCTCCAGCTCCTTTAGATGTAGGGTTAGGTTGTGTATTTGAGACCTTTCTTGTTTCTTGAGAAAGGCTTGTATTGCAATATACTTTCCTCTTAGGACCGCCTTTGCTGCATCCCAAAGATTTTGAACAGTTGTGTTTTCATTTTCATTTGTTTCCATGAATTTTTTAAATTCTTCTTTAATTTCCTGGTTGACCCATTCATTCTTTAGTAGGATGCTCTTTTGCCTCCATTATTTGAGTTCTTTCTGACTTTCCTCTTGTGATTGAGTTCTAGTTTTAAAGCATTGTGGTCCAAAAATATGCAGGGAATGATCCCAATCTTTTGGTACTGGTTGAGACCTGATTTGTGACCTAGGATGTGATCTATTTTGGAGAATGTTCCATGGCACTAGAGAAGAATGTGTATTCTGTTGCTTTGGGATGGAATGTTCTGAATATATCTGTGAAGTTCATTTGGTCCAGTGTGTCATTTAAAGCCTTTATTTCCTTGTTGATCTTTTGCTTAGATGATCTGTCCATTTCAGTGAGGGGGGTGTTAAAGTCCCCTACTATTATTATATTGTTGTTGATGTGTTTCTTTGGTTTTATTATTAATTGGCTTATATAATTGGCTGCTCCCATGTTAGGGGCATTGGTATTTACAATTGTTAGATCTTCTTGTTGGATAGATCCTTTAAGTAGGATATAGTGTCCTTCCTCATCTCTTATTATAGTCTTTGGTTTAAAATCTAATTTGCCTGATATAAGGATTGCCACCTCAGCTTTCTTTTGATGTCCATTAGCATGGTAAATCATTTTCCACTCCCTCACTTTCAATCTGGGGCTGTCGTTGGGTCTAAAATGAGTCTCTTGCAGACAGCATATCGATGGGTCTTGTTTTTTAATCCAATCTGATAGCCTGTGTCTTTTGATTGGGGCATTTAGCCCATTTACATTCAGGGTAACTATTGAAAGATAAGAATTTAGTGCCATTGTATTGCCTGTAAGGTGACTGTTACTGTATATTGTCTCTGTTCCTTTCTGGTCTATGTTACTTTTAGGCTCTTCTTTGCTTAGAGGACCCCTTTCAATATTTCTTGTAGGGCAGATTTGGTGTTTGCAAATTCTTTTAGTTTTTGTTTGTCCTGGAAGCTTTTTATCTCTCCTTCTATTTTTAATGACAGCCTAGCTGGATATAGTATTCTTGGCTGCATATTTTTCTTGTTTAGTGCTCTGAATATATCATGCCAATCCTTTCTGGCCTGCCGGGTCTCTGTGGATAGGTCCGCTGCCAGTCTAAGGTTTCTACTATTGTAGGTTACAGATTTCTTCTCCCGAGCTGCTTTCAGGATTTTCTCTTTGTCTCTGAGACTTGTAAATTTTACTATTAGATGTCAGGGTGTTGACCTATTTTTATTGATTTTGATGGGGGGGGCTTCTCTGTGCCTCCTGGATTTTGATGCCAGTTTCCTTCCCCAAATTAGGGAAGTTTTCTGCTATAATTTGCTCCAATATACCTTCTGCCAATATACCTTCTGCCCCTCTCTCTTTTTCTTCTTCTTCTGGGATCCCAATTATTCTAATATTGTTTCATCTTATGGTATCACTTACCTCTCGAATTCTCCCTTTTTGATCCAGTAGTTGTTTATCTCTCTTTTTCTCAGCTTCTTTATTCTCCATCATTTGGTCTTCTATTCACTAATTCTCTCTTCTGACTCATTTATCCTAGCAGTTAGCGCCTCCATTTTTTATTGCACCTATTAATAGCCTTTTTGATTTTGACTTGGTTAGATTTTAGTTCTTTTATTTCTCCAGAAAGGAATTCTCTAATATTTTCCATGCTTTTTTCAAGCCCAGCTAGTATCTTTATAATTGTCATTCTGAACTCTAGTTCCGACATCTTACTAATGTCCATTCTGATTAGGTCCCTGGCAGTCGGTACTGCCTCTTGTTCTTTTTTTGAGGTGAGTTTTCCCGTCTTGTCATTTTGAAGGACATCAGCTTTTGGATAGAGCCAAATCCTTGTTAGTGAGACTCCTTCCACCCCTGATGCACACACACAAAATAAGGTAAGGTGAATCCTAACAGGACAGGCAAAGGGTTGAATTAAAAGAAGACAACTTTCCCCCTGTTTGTTGGAGTAGGATGAGGGAAGAGTTAGTCAATGCTTTTCCTGGTTCCAGCTGTCACTGTTCTTCCTCTCCTCCTAAGGGAGCAGAGCTTTCAGACTCACGGACCTGATGCCATAAGAGATCTAACTAGCTAGCTTTACACTGAGCAGCAGCAGCTACCTGGGGCCTGACAGAAGTTCTGAGGATTGAATCCTGTAATACAAAAGGAAAAAAATAATGTCAGGTCTGTCCACTAAGTATCCCAATAGATTTTCTTTTTTTTTTTTAATTTCTTTTTTTTTTTTAAAGATTTTATTTATTTATTTGACAGAGAGAGACACAGAGAGAGAGGGAACACAAGCAGGGGGAGTGGGAGAGGGAGAAGCAGGCTTCCCCGCAGAGCAGGGAGCCCGATGCGGGACTCGATCCCAGGACCCTGGGATCATGACCTGAGCCGAAGGCAGACGCCCAACCAACTGAGCCACCCAGGCGCCCTTTTTGTTTGTTTGTTTTTTAAGTGATCTCTCCATCCAGCATGGAACCTGAACTCATGACCCCAAGATCTAGAGTTGCATGCTCTACTGACTGAGCCAGCCAGGCACCACCACCCCTGCCCCCCCAACCCAGTAGATTTTCTTAAACCTTGGGCCTCCACGGCCTCTCCTGGTGAACTTTCCTTAAAGTCTTTTGTCTTTCTTAGTTGGGGTGCCAAATAGATGGGCAGAGGTGTAGAGGCCAGAGAGATGTTCTATTTTCTTTCCTTCCCAGCAACACTGGGCCTCCCAGGGACATGGTGCTGAGGCATAATGTGCGTGTGTGTTGTTGTGTGCTATGATAGGAAGATTCTGGAGCTCAGAGAAAACTTTCTCCACATACCCCTGGGAATATCATTATCATGCTGGCTTTGTTCTAAACACAACAAAGACCAAGGAAGGATTTCTTATTTCTCCTTAAAATTAAGAAGGCTCCAGAACTTTAAGGCGGTCAAGTCCCGTGTGTATGGAGGTTTTGCTACAAGTCAAAGTCTAACAAGCAGGCGTTCCTATTCACTGGGCCAAATTCACTGAGTGACCTCTGAGGGACCTTGGCTTCAGTTTCTCCCTCCTTCCAGCCCTTCCTCATTCCTGCCTCTCCCCTCTCCAAGGTCAATGCAGACAGGAAAGTCACAGCTGTAATTACATTTTGGGTTCTCTGGCGGTAAGGAATGAACCTGAATAGCTAGCTTCAAAGATACACACACACATACACAATATATATTCATGTATATAAAATTAATGTATACTAGCTTGCATGCCTGTATCCTTAAAGTCGCAGAAATGTCTTTTCCAACTTGCTGTTCTCTTCGATGAGAACAGGATCCTCCCTTCACGCTTGATTCCTCAAGTAAAAAAGAAGGGTGTGCCAATCCAGGGGTACACAAATGCATTTAAACCCAACGGAGCTGGTTCAGTCAACTAGAAACTGCTCCCTTAAGTGACCAACTCAGTGCTTAACTAATCAACTAAAACTGGCAAGAAATTAATCTGGAATTTCCCAAGTACTGGGTGGGGTGTTTTAGATAAGTTTTGAATTGAATCCAAAGTAATATAAGAGTGCATGTTCATATCTAACTAAGAAACTGAACAAAAGCTTTATTAATCTAAAAAAAAATTAGGAAATCCTAATAAACACAATAAGGAAAAGGAATAATAATAATAGGTTTTTAAGAACTGTGTTTGGATGTAGATGAGCTCAGAATGCGTATTTGAAGTAGTTTATTTTTATTTCAAGTTGTGGCTTCCCTTCATAGGCTGTGTGAGATCAAAGGTTTGCTTTTTTAAAAATTTTATTTATTTATTTGGGGTGGGGGAGTGAGCACAGGGGAGGGGGAGTGGGGGAGAGGGGGACGGGGTAGGGGGGTGGAGGAGCAGGGGGACAAGCAGACTCCCTGTAGAACTTGGAGCTTAGCAGGACCCTGAGATCATGACCTGGGCTGAAATCAGAAGTCAGATGCTCAGCCGACTGATCTACCCAGATGCCCCCAGACCAAAAGTTTTTGTGCTTTTTCCCCACCCTATTGTTGGGTCCAAAATTCGACCCTGTCACTATTTGTGTAATTACAAATTATGTGCATTGATAAGTCCAATCAATTTCAAGCCTTATTAGAATAAATCTTAAAAATTTAAAGAGGCTAGAGTTCTATGAGAAATGAGTATACAAGTCCTGGATGTGTTGCTCCTGTGGTCTTGACCTTCCCCTGGCATGGACAATGAGCAGTTAATTCAAGAACAGAAAGTAAAACAATGTCATTTGAAAGAAAACAAAACTCAGGGACTGCGAATTTTCACAGGATCTGTGTTGGGAAACCGCCCCCTGTTGGTTTCCCTGAAGAGTGCACTAGATAGGACAGAGACACATGAGGGCTCTTTTTGCTGGTTTTCTCAGCAAAAAGCCAGCCTTCTTCAACCTCCAAAGTGAGGAGAATTGTGATCTTAGAGCTTCCCTCTTGCTACTGTGGGCAGCCGTCTCAGGAAGGAGATGCCAAAGTTGTTCGCCTGGAAAATGTCACAATACCAGGACCATGTATTCGGTGGAGATGTTATATAGACATTAACTTTGTCCATAAATGTCTCTTCTAACTTCCCTCACCCTCCTTTCATGCCAGGAGATGGAGTGAGAAAGGGAAGGGAGCATGAGCTGCAGTCTAAGGGAGTTAGTTCCAGTCAGAGCATTGCTGTTGTCAAGCTGTGGGTCCTTGGACAAGTCATTCAGCTTTCTGAGCCTGAGATTCCAGCTTGCCCACATCTCCATCACCTCCAAGTGGTAATAAAGACCAAATGAGGCATGGGGGTGCTTTGTTTATGCAAACATGAAGTATTGCTGTTAGTACCTGCTTAAGAAGAGTAAGAATGCATGGAAACATCATTTTCTCATTCAAAGGACTGAGGATTGGAGAGTAAAAAGAATCACCCTAGGTTTCCGTCTGTTTCCACTTTTGAGGTCCTGGGAGGCATTCTGATCTAAAAAGAATGCAAATACTGTCACTGTGGTTTTTGCAGGTTACGCATCAGCTCTATGCTTCTATTACATTATCAGCAAAATGAGGAATGGTGTGGATGCAAGAAATGCATTACATCTCTAAAGTTCTTCACAGAGACTAGAGTTGCAAGAAGCACTCATTATTTAAGCATAAGTGGTATCAGCGAAGAGCTGAAGTGAATTAATCCTCTTATTATTATAATAAGGAGCAAATTTCAAGGTAAGTAATGAAAATAATTATCATAAAGGTAACAGAATTTTTACAATTTGTTGCAATTTCTAGTCCAAAGAATGTTGGGGAGCTGATTTGATGTGGAGAGGATATATATTTTCTTGGACACTATTGTAGAATGGCACAATGCAACATCCTTTAGCTCATGTTACCCTGGGCAACACCATCAAAGGAGGATCATTTTTCATGAATAAGTAAATAAGTAAGTTTTTAAAAAAATCAATCTTCTAGAGGGATTTGTAAAATTCTTTGATATTTAAGCCTGTACCTTGTGGAAACTTTTATTGTGTTATCATCTTTACCCATTTCCTCTTCTTTAGTTGAATTTACCTGATTCTTTGTGTATTTTTACTTCTTTGGTTTTTACTTAGTCTCTTGACACACGATTATACATGATACTGGAGCAGTTCTCCAACATCGTTTTCATTAATTTCATGAAATTCTACATCTTTTTTTTTAAGATTTTAATTATTTATTTGAGAGAGAGACAGAGAGTGAAAGAGAGCACAGGTGGGGAGGAGAGGGAGAAACAGGCTTCCCGCGGAGCAGGGAGCCTGATACGGGACTCGATCCCAGAACCTTGAGATCATGACCTGAGCCAAAGGCAGACACCCAGGCACCCCGAAATTCTACATCGTTTGCAAGAATTGCAACTTCACTTTGCCACCTAATTCCTTTGTGTTGTCAGATGTTTATAATACTCTACCATCAGTAAGAGACAGACCAAAAAATTTTGACTGGTTGATCAGGAATATTCATTCAAGCCAAGCTGGGAAAGTTGTGTGAAAGGGGAACAATATTGTAAGTATTCAGTTCATCAAAGAATACTTTCATGTAATGACAAACTTCCTTCCTGTAAAACTGTGTCTTAAAGGAATTTGGGTAATGAAAACCCAGATTGTGCCTGATAATGCTTCTTCCAATAGAGAATTCTTTTCTGTGTTTGTTGATTGAGCCATAATGGATTTAGGCTAACCCATATTTACTGTCATATAAAGGAATAGCATTTGTTTGTCAGTTCCCAGTCTGAGTTTAGGAATGCTAATTTTGGAAAATAATTTTACATTTTATTAAAAACTGTCGATAGCTTAATGTCAAACAAAACTAAAAAGTGATAACTTACTGTGCTTATTGTTTCTACAGTAAAGACTATACTTTTTCTCATATAAAATGCTGGTAATTCAATCAAAAGCACAACTAACAGAATGAAAGATTGGGAGAAGATATTCATAATACATATATTCAACAAAGGACTTATATCCAGGTTTAAAACTTAATTTTAAAAAATGAGCAAGTGTTAAAAAAAAAAAAGAGCAAGTGTTTAATAGGCATTTCACTAAAGAGTGTATCCAAATAACTAAGAGACAGGACACCTGGGTGGCTCAGTCAGTTAAATGTCTGCCTTCAGCTCAGGTCATGATCCCAGGATCCCTGGATCGAACCCCGCATCAGGCTCCCTGCTCCATGGGGAGTCTGCTTCTCCCTCTGCCTGCAGCTCCCCCTGCTTACAGGTGTTGGTGTAGATGTGGAGCAACTGGAACTCTCATAAATTGCTGATAAGAGTATAAATTGTATAGGGGCGCATGGGTGGCTCAGTTGGCTGGGCATCTGCCTTCGGCTGGGGTTTTGATCCCAGGGTCCTGGGATCGAGCCCCGAATTGGGCTCCTTGCTCAGCGGGGAGCCTGCTTCTCCTTCTCCCTCTGCTGCTCCCCCTGCTTATGCTCACTCACTCTCTCTCTCAAATGAGCAAATAAAATCTTAAAAAAAAAAAGAGTATAAATTGTATAACCTCTTTAGAGTACAGCTTGACAGTATCTACTGAAGCTGAGCACATGTATACTCTATGACCCAGCAATTGTACTTTTGAGTATATGCCCAACAGAAATAAGTGCTCTGTTCACCAACAAGACAAGTACAAGAATGTTTATACCTTCTTTATTAATAGCCTCAAACTGGAAAGAACTCAATACAGTAGAATGGATAAATAAATCATTGTCACTTCTATTGGAATACTACATAGAAATGAAAATGAACTACTGAGATATGTACCAATGTGGTAAGTCATAATGTATGATTTATACAAAGTTCAAAAACAGATGAAACCAATCAATGGTGATAGAGATGAAGACAATAGTCATCCTGGGTAGGGGCCAGTATTGAGAGGGAGATTACACAAGTGAACCTTCTGGGGTATTGGAAATGTTTTATATTTTTATATGGGTGGTGGTGTACATGGGTATATGTAAAAATTAAATGAGTTATACATGTATACATATATATTATACATATATAATTTATATATTACTATACCTGTAATATTTAACTATATATAATACAGGAAAAAGGCTAGCATTGAGTGAAAATTCTGTTGCTAAGGAACCTGTACCTTTAAATGCAAACATTTTCAAATCTTAACAATGTAGCATATTTCACTAGGGACGGAAAAACCTAAAAATATTATCTTTTTATAAAAAAAGACTGGATGGGGCACCTGGATGGCTCAGTTGGTTAAGCCTTTGACTCTTGGTTTTAGCTCAGGTCATGGTCTTAGGTTGGTGAGATAGAGCCCCAAGTCAGGTTCCACACTAAGCAGGGAGTCTACTTGAGATTCTCTCTCCCTCTCCCTCTGCTTCTCCCCCCATCTCTCTCTCTCAAATAAATAAATAAATCTTAAAAAAAAATACTGGAAAGACATTTAATAAGAGGTTAATTTTTTATGGGATTGTTGGTTGTCTTTATTGTCTCCTTTATACTTTTCAATATTTTTTCAATTTTCTATGATGAGCCTGCCTTAATTTATAATCAGATAAAAATATGCAAATAATTTTTAAAGTATGTGCTAAAATGTCAACTAAAAGTAGTATCTCATTTAATTTCAATTCATTGAGTTATTAACATTAAATAGTTTTCCTCTGTGTATTTTTTTAATAAAAGAGAATTGAAAATTATGTATCTTTGGGCTAATACTCTTCTGGGTAATAGACATTGAAGGTACATATTTTTTTGTTTCTTTTTCTTTTTTTTTTAAGATTTTATTTATTTATTTGAGAGAGAACAGGAGTGGGGGGAGGAGCAGAGGGAGAAAGAAAAGCAGACTCCGCACTGAGTGGGGAGCCAGATGCAGGGCTCAATCCCAGGATTCCAGAATCATGACCTGAGCCAAAGATAGACGCTTAACTGGCTGAGTCACCCAGGTGCCCCTATTTTTTCTTTTATTAAAGCCATATGCAAGGTTGTGTCTTGCTTGTTTTATCTGAAAGCAGTAGAGCCTGGTGTGAAGCATGTGGGTTCACATCTGACCACCTGGTGCATAGACTCAGCTCTACTGTCTTCTGATCCATGACTACAGGCAACTGACTTACCTACTCTAAGTTTGTTTCCTCTGATTTGGAGGTGATAATAGCAGCCATATCAAAAGGGGAGATGTTGTAAAAAAATATAAGTACTTTTCATTATTGTCACTGCTAGGATATATGATTAAATTGTTTTTGCTCTATATCTCTGTGGGTCTGGTAATAGTGTTAGAAAATTTTGAAGGATATTTTACTTTAAAAATTATTTAGTATGCAGAGTTCTCAAAAGTTGAATAGCATAGCTTTAACCAACTGGTCTACCAATCCACAGTGGAAATCAGCAGTTATCTGTGTTATGTAATCCTCATAACAACTCCGTGAAGTAGGCAGAGTAGTACCACCATTTTATGCAAGTGGACATACACTGAGGCCCAAAGAGGCAAAATGAGCCCCTGGAAGACAAGAGTCCAGGTTACAGCAGGTCTTCCGACTCCTGCTCTATCACATCACACTAGCCACAGCATACACAGGGCAATTTCTTTCTGGTTGACTTTAACCTTTGATTCCTACAGGCTTCTCTGATTTCTCCTTTGATCTGAGCTGGGTCCATCACCCCACTGCACTCTCCCACGCTCTTCCCATCAACCAAACTGTTGACCAGTGAACTTCCCCACTTAAACCCCTGCGCTGGCTCACAGTGGCTCTTTGCCAGTGCCTGCCTGCCATCCTTCAAAGCTAAAATCACACTCTATCCTTCATAAAATATTCCCTCATTTTTTTTCATGCAGTACTCTGTTTAATTTTAGCCTCTTTGAATCCTGATCATCTTTTGTTTTTTTCTCTTACTCAGCACTTGTAATGCTGTTCTGAATTTCAATTGTTTGGGTATTTGTTCTCCCCTCCACTTCCATTATTTATCTTAAAAACTTTCATAGTACCCAGCATCATGGCTCAAAAAGGAAAATGCCTTTGAACGGATGGGTAAGTGAGTTGATGGTGTAGCAGGCAAATAGGTACACATTTTAATATGTGCTTTATGAAACAAGCTTGGGGCACAAGTCATAACACACAAAAACACCTCCCTTTGTTGGGATATTTGAATGTAGTGAGGGACTTGCAGATTCTATTTGCATTTCATTCATGAAAATTTTTTTGAGATATTAAAAATAGGATTCTTGCTCAGTTGTCCTTGGATCTGACCTCATTAATATACTGGAAATGAATTTGTTCTCCTTTGCGGGAGAACTCTTACAGGCCACAGAATGGGGCACTCAGAAAATTCCCTGAATGTCAAACAGTTCAGAGGGCTGGGGTCAGAGATCCTTGGCCGCAGATACAAAGCCAAACTTTCCCCAGGTGGGTCAGCATGCTCCTGCCCAGGGCAACATCATATTCAACTGATTTGTTTAACAGACTTTTCAATATGAATGAGATTGATAGAAAAACCCTCTTAGATATGGCACAATTATATTATCTAATGCAAAATGTGGTCCTAGAAATTAGGTGAATTATGCGTTTCAATTTTTACACATTTAAATTTTTTAATGTCTCCCTTTCTGACCTATGAGTTTCATATGGCTCAAGATAGACTTGAAGTACTTTATACAGTATATTTTATCTGTTAATAAATATTGAACCGAATGTGCACAGTAAAAAATATAAAAATAAATTTATTTTGAGCCAAAGAATCTGTGCTTTTAAAAAATAAATTTGATGTTTAGAAGTTTCGAATTAAAAAAAAAAACAACAGCTGTTTTTGGATCATGAGCCACCTTTTAGCTCCAGAAATTCTCAGTAACACCAAGGGTAAGCGGGTGTGAATTTTGCCAACAGGGAAGTGTATTGGGAATTTCCAGAACATTATCAGAGATGAGCATGTCAGCGGCTTGGAGAAGAACCAGATGAAACAAATAACAACTGGCTGGTTCATCTCAGATTACTTGCTGGGAAAAGTTGTGTATTAGTCTGAGTTCGCTAGAGAAACAAAGCCAATAGGAGATATATAGATATATAGGTGGATAGATGGATTCATTTTAAGAAATTGGCTCATGGCTCACACAGATACGGAGGCTGAGGACTCCCAACATCTGCAGTCAGCAAGCGGAGACCTAGGCGGGTCGCTGGTAGTTTCAGTCCAAGTTCAAAGGCAGAGAAGACAAAACATCCCAGCTTGAAGACAGTTCAAGATGAGGGGAGTTCCTTCTTATTAACAGAAGGGGCTGAATTTCTGTTCTATTTTGGTCTTCAATTGATCGAAGGAATCCCACCCACATTGGAGAAGGTAATCTGCTTTACTCAGGTTGCTAATTCAAATGTTAATTTCATTCAAAACACCCTCACCGCCTGGCTCGGAATAACGTTTGACCGGAATAACGTTTGACCAAATAAATACACGGGCACTTCATGACCCAGTCAAGCTGACACATAAAATTACCATCACAAATTGTTTTCACAGGATTTTCCCCACTGCCCAAAACAATCAAGGCGGCTCTCAAAGTTGGAGCTTAGGGTCAGAAGACTCACCTCCTCTGGAGTAGAGTGACATGATGACAGAGCTCAGACTTTGGAGATAAATTGGTCTGGATTGAAATCCCCACATCTCAGCCACTTTTTAGCTATGTGCTCTTGGACAAGCTGATTAACCTCTCAATTTCCTCACCCACAAAGCACAAAATATCACAGATTATTAGGGGAAATATTTGTGATGGGATTGTCACATACATAAGCATTTAGTACATCATACCTATCATCATTAGTGCTTCCCTCAGGATTTATATATCAGTGTTCCAAAAAATAACTATTCTGCACTTAGTACTTTAGGTAACATAGAAAATAGCGTGTAGATGGAAGATAAATCAGAGTACTTGAATGTAGTATTTTTGAAGGTATGTTCAGTGCTTTTTTTTTTTAAATCACCAAAATGTGTCCGCAACTTTAAACTTGAAAATCAAACCAGATCACGATATTAATTCTTTATATACTCCACATTCCTCTATAATGTGCTTTGATTTTGAAACATCCTGAATCTTCACTGAGTCTCCAATGTGCCAAATTTGGCAAGGCAAGCCAAGGGCGTATCTTGGTCAGCGTCCGCAGTTAGCAGAGTGTTCCCTCTTGTTTACTGCACTCTCCCCATTAGGTCATGCCCATTTGGAGACTGAGAAACACATGGTGTTGCGACCACTAACAGTGCATTTTAATTTGACTGTGTAGCGCTTCCTGTGCTGTTTGGGGCACAAACTCATTGTGGCCCAGTGAAAAGAACAAATACTGACCGTGAGGGCAGACGAACACTGTCTGTCCCATTGACTTGGGATCCCACTCCCCCGCAGCAAAGCTGGAAAAAAGAATCCAGGCTTAATTATAATTGACCTGGCTATAGACTCGACCCTAGAGACGAATCTCGAATCTTGAAGATAGCAGTGTTGGAACAGGGCTGACCTGAGTGGAGCTGTGAAGCAGTGAGTGTTGTCTGTCGGTGACCCTCATTTTCTGTTTTCACACTATTTTCCTCCTCTGCAGGCCAACTTTCATTAAATGCAGTGCCTGGCTGAGAGGTGTATGTCCTACAACTTGGGGTTCAATGCCCTTCTCCATCACTCATTACTTGGTACCCATCAGCATCTCGGTTACTTGCCCGTAAAATCAGGACAATAAAAATGACTTCTCAAGTTGAGTGAGGACTCAATAAGATAACATCTGTAAAAAAAATGCTTTGGTAAACCTTGGATTGTTATAAACATTGTTAGGTACTTTTTTAAAGGATTTTATTTATTGAGAGAAAGAGAGAGAGAGAGAGCGTGCACAAGTGGAAGGAGGGGTAGAGGGAGAGAGAGAATCTCAAGCAGACTCTGCAATAAGCATGAAGCCCACGACCCTGAGATCATGACCTGAGC